AGAATCCTTTATTTTAAAGTTGAATGTAATCTTTTAAAAACACAAACCTAATTGTTGCGCCACACAATGAAGCCAGTCAGGATCACTCCAAGTGAATTTGGGGACTAAATAAAGGCACAGACACAGAAAGTACCTTTACTTTGGGTTCAGTGACCGCTCCTCAGCCACAGCTACCACAAAGGGGGCAAGGCAGGAAAGAAAGGGAGCAAGGAAATCTTGCTGAACCATTTTATTGGGGAGAAGCTATTCAAATGAGGCAAGGGATCAGGTTTCAGGAGGTTGAGTCTAGCTTCCTGATGTCTTGCTGTCAGCAGGTTGACTGACATCTAGGAAGGCCATCCCCATCTCTTGTGCTATGTGGGAATCATAGGCAGAGCCAGCAAAAAGACTCATAAGTTGCTGGCCCAAACAGAGGGGCAACATGGGTTCAGTCCACCCTGTGTGCTGAATGCTCATAGTTCACACACACACAGCCCACGGCTGGCTTGCTACATCTCCACACTTTCATTGCTCAAAGCTAAGGGGCATTCATTTCCCAAGTGGCAGCTCCTAACACCTAATCAAACTTTCATTGTCCTCCTCTAGTTTTTGGAATGAAATTGAGTATATCCAGTATTCACTGCCCAGTCTTTCTCAATGGCTTTCCCATCGCTTTTTTAACTCTAACACACTAGGCAGACTACTTCAGTCCTTTGAAAGTAGATACTCTATCCTAAGAACCACACTTGTTCAAACATACTGCTTTCTCTCCCCTAAACATTGCCACCCTGTTTCCATGACCACTCTATTTTTCTTCATCTAGTTAACTCCCATTTTCACTCAATTAATATTACTTAAAAAAATTTTTCCTTGATTCCCCAGACTAGATCAAAACTCCATGTTGTGTGTCCTCATAGAAACTCCTTATTAATCTGCCCTTACTATACTTAAGATCCACTATAATCATGCATTAAAGTATCATCTGATTAAGTTATGTCACCTCCATCAGAATGTGTGTTCCCTGAAGCATACACATTTATTTTATTCACTGTTTTTGTAAGAATCTAGCACAACATGACACATAAATATTTGTTTTATGATGACATAAAGAGTCTGCATATTTTCTCTGTCAGCTAGAATTTAATGGAGGTTTTTTTGAGGATTTGGTTTTATTATTGCTCTCATTAAATATTTCCAATTTACAGTTGTTAGTAGATAACTGGTAAGTGGTAACACTGTAGCTTATATTTACACTAAATATATTAGAACCAAATTAAACTTCAGTATTAATGGTAGGTACAAATAACAAAAAATATAGTATGAGATTGAAGAATTGTCCAATCATCATCAGGAAACAGTTAACAAAATGCAATAGTTCCTAGTTCTATATTTCCTAGAAAATCCTCTTTTTGCCTGGAAGAAATTTGTCCCCACTCTCTTATTATTTTTTCCCACTATCTTAATAAACATCATTAAAATATATCTTTATGTTTTTTTTTCTTTTTTTCTTTTGATACTGAAGAATGGACTCGGAGTAGCTGTGCCACTGAATTGCATCCCCAGTCCTTTTTATTTATTTTTAAAATTTTGAGACAGGTTCTTGCTAAGTTACTGAGGATGGTCGGGAATTTGCAATCCTCCTGCCTCAATCCCTGAAGACACTGGGATTATAGGTGTGCAGCACTGTGCCAGGTCCTTTATAATTTTAATTAAGATAAATTATAACTGTCACTTGAATAGGAATTCTAAAATACAAATATATCCAAATATCTTCTGGCTTTATTAATTCACTTAGAATTAATACAGTGGTAGCTTCACCTTCAGAATATAGCCTCCATTGCTCTAAGATTTCTTTATTTTTTTTAAATGCTTTTGTTCTTTCTCTCTCCCCTCTCCCTCTCCCTAACAAGATTAGGGACAAGGTGTTATCTTTTTCCCCCTAGTTAATTGCCCTAGAACAATTAATTACCCACTACAGGAAGGAGATGCCGGCTGAGGATCTGGGAAATGAATATTTCTCAAATTAACAAGTGAAACCTAACATGCCTTCGTGTGTGTGGGGGGGTCCTGGGGCCCCTACCAGAGCACACCTGGAATGTAACACCTGAAGTTCCTTTAAAAAGCTCTAGTCCCTTTTTTTTTTTTAATATTTTACTTTTTAATTGTAGTTGGACACAATACCATTATTTTATTTATTTTATGTAGTACAGAGGATTGAACCCAGGGTCCCAAACATGCTGGGCAAGTGCTCTACCACTGAGCCACATCCCCAGCCCTCCACTCCCTCTTGATGAACAGAGTCACAACCTTTGGGACAGGAGTCCCCTGTCTTTCTCCCTTGCTAGCAAAGCAATAAAACTTCTTTTTCCTTTTTCTCAAAACCGTGTCCTCATTATTATTATTATTGTTATTATTTTTTTATGTTTTAGTTGTAGTTGGACACAATACTTTTATTTCATTCATTTATTTTTATGTGGTACTGAGGATAAAACTCAGGGCCTTGCACATGCTAGAGGAGCGTTCCACTGCTAAGCACAACCCCAGCACCCCCTCTCCTCATTATTAAATTGGCATTGATTGACTTTTGGATACAGGAACAGGGACTGAGCTTGAGCTTTCAGTTACACATTCACTAAACATATGCTTACATAGAATCTGAAAAGTGTTAGGTATAAAAGGTAAAAGAATAGTCCCTAAACATGGGATTAAGTATTTTTGTGTTGACTCAAATCCAGAGTAAAAAACTTAAATAATGGGCAACCTTGGGCAAGCTAATTAATCTCTATAAAACTTAATT